AGTTGATCAAAGAAGAGAGTCTTTCTATCCAGTTGATAACTTTTGGCAGCTGGAACCTGGAACAAGTGTTGCCGTAATATCACTTTTCCTCAAATATGAGACACCATTGATTGAAACTGACACCCTTAACTGGAATAAAGATACTCTCAGAACAATGTAACATAAGTGACTAGAAGTGAGAGTCCATAGATAAACCCTCAGATTTATGGACAGTTAATCTATGACAAAGAGTTGGGCCCATGAAGTGAAGCAAAGAAAGCCTCTTAAACAAATGGTGCTGGGAAAGCTAGATACACTAAAACTGACCCGCATCTCACAGCACTTACAAAAATTAATTCAAAGAGCATTAAGTAGGAATTTAAAAATTGGACCAAAATCCATAAAGGGCATTGAGGAAAATACAGAACTCTCTAGGACATCGACCTCAGAGATGTCTTCAGTTAGTTGGCTCCATTGGCAAACATAACAATAACAAAAATAAACGAATGTGACTGTATCAAATTTAAAAGGGTTTGCTTGGCAAAAACAAACAAAAATAAAGAGACTCCCTAATGGAAGGGAGAGACTATTTGCACTTAATACATCAGGCAAAGAACTAATAAGCAAGATTACAACAAAATAACAAAAATGAGATCAAAATGGGGAGAAATGATGGGCAGACACTTCCCTGAAGAGACAAATAGCCATCATCATTCATTATCAGGGAAGTGAAAATAAAAAAAATGAAATGCCATTTCACAACAGTTAAGAATGGTATATATTTAAAATGACTGAAAACAATCAATGTTGACAAGGGTGTGCTAAAAAAGGAATCTGTTGGTAAAAATGTCATCTGGTTCAACCTCTATGGAAAACAGTACGGGGATGTCTAAACAATATTAAGAATAATGCTTCTGTACAACCCTACAATTCAACTTCTTGGTATCTATCCTTAAAACACAAAAACACTGGATTGGAGTGATAGTACTGTGGGTAGGGCACTTGCCTTGCACACAGCCAACCCATGTTCAATCCCCAGCACCCCATTTGTTCATCCCTGAGCACTTCAGGAGTGATCCCAAAGTGCAAAGCAAGGAACAACCCCTGAGTGCCGCTGGATATGGCAAAAACAAAACAAAACCAAAAAATCCCACCATAAACATTTATTCAGACAGATAGAGGCTCACCTATGTTCACTGCAGCATAAGCACAATAACCAAGATATGATAACAACACAAGAAATTATATTATCTAAACAGAATGGAATACTATGCAACTGTGAGAAAAGATCAAATCATGAAGTTCAATGGGGCTGGAGTGATAGTACAATAGGCAGGGTGTTTGCCTTGCATACATCTGACCCAGCTTCAACTATGGGCATCCCCTATAGTCCCCTGAACACACAAAACAAGAAATCATGCAGTTCATGACAATGTGGATGGAACTGGGGGGGGGGGGGGGCATTGTACTTAAGTGAAATTAAGTCAGAGGGAGAGGACAAATACCAGATGATCTCACTGATCAGAGGCATAGAGAGAGATGAAACTAGGGAATAGACAGTATTCATCCATGGTAAGTTGTCAATATTGTATTACAAAACTGAGCTCACCAATAAGTAGGAAGAAAGAGGCAGAAGAGTGAAAAGGCCAAAGTAGAGGTGACAAAGGGACAGAGGTAGAGGGTCTTAGGCACTTTGATAGTGGGGCAGAAGTAATATTAATATCATAAATGTTAAGACTATTCTAACCATGTTATCTACATTTTTTTAAACTAAAAAAATGTGACATCCTTATTACCAATGTTATTTACAAAGAAAAGATGTAGGCTAGAGAGAAAGTACAGAGTTAAGGCACTTGCTTTTCTTTTTTTCTTTTTTGGGTCACATCCAGCGATGCACAGGGGTTACTCCTGGCTCTGCACTCAGGAATTACTCCTAGTAGTGCTCGGGGGACCATATGGGATGCCAGGGATCGAACCCAGGTCGGCTGTGTGCAAGGCAAATGCCCTACCCGCTGTATTATCCAGCCCAGCACTTGCCTTTCAGTCCACCATCCTGGGTGTGATCTCTTGTTGGATATTAAACCACAAGTGTTTTAGACTTCATCAGTGAATTGCCCATTTTCCTCCTCCCAGAGAAGCTTACAGTGCTCTTGCAAGCATCCCTAATCTCCTGAGTTTATCTTTAACCTTTCCTTCGTGTTTTACACTTCAATGTCACAGTTCCCCAAGTCAATATTGGCTACTTATAAGGCAAAACTTTCTGGTAATTCTGGATTTGGATTTTGTATTTGTAGTGAATTACTTTTTTTTCTATTTCCCCTATAGCCTTTTCATATTTTACTATAGAGCAATGTTCTTTGCTTAACACAGAAAAACCTTAACGTCATGCTCCTAATATTTGGGAGTTGGTTGACACTGAAATATATATAATCCTGGTCATCTGTCATAATTACTTGACTCAGGTTTCGGTTGCTGTTGTTCCTACTTTTCTATGTTTTATCTATGTAAATGATATATGTAAATTTCCAGATGCTTTTTCCATGTAAATGATCAGTCACACCTAGGTCCTATACCTCAACCCCCGGCATATGTTCTATAAGTATGCTAGCAGTTCTGCATTAAATGGACCATTTTCACCATCAGGCTGTGGTCCTCCATCTCTGTCTCTCTGCTGGGGAGGCCCGGGGAGGATGGGAGGCAGCTCTCGGCCACCAAAGGTCGAATGCACAAGCTTTGCACACCCCACACAATACTTTGAGAACTCACAATCTCTGACACCCCATATTGTCATTCCCCTCCACTCCCTGCCCCATAGCACCATCAGTAGTAACCCCTGTGCACAGCCAGGTGCAGCCAAAAGAAGAGAGTTGGGGAGATAGTACAGTGGCTAAACAATTACAGTTCAATTGCTGGCACCCCATACAGTACCCTGAGCCCCACCAGGAGTGATCCCCTACCAGAAGCCAGAGTAAGTTCTGAGCATCACCAGATGTGACACAGGAAGGAAGGGAGGGAGGGAGGGAGGGAGGGAGGGAGGGAGGGAGGGAGGGAAGGAGGAAAGAAGAAAGGAAAGAAAAAGGAAGGAAGGAAGGAAGGAAGGAAGGAAGGAAGGAAGGAAGGAAGGAAGGAAGGAAGATGGATGGATGCTCTGGGGCCTGCAGGATGGTTCAAAGGGCTAGAATACATGCTTTGCTTGCGGGAGCCCTGTTTTCATCCCCTGCACCACATTATCTCCCAGCACTGTAGGGTTGGCCCCAAAATCTTTAATGAAATAACAAAATAGAGAAAAGATGCTGCCAATTATATGACACCATTATATTTCAGTAATACCGAAAGGCAGGACTGTGTCCTACAGTGCAACAGGGTGTTATCTGATTTTTCAGAAAAGTTGGAAATCTGGGTTTTGAATTGAGTGATTTTTAAGAAACTGGAAGCTAACCTTTTCTAAGTGACTTTAAAAATTATGTGGGCATGTGTCCCTGGAGAGCCTCATAACTACCGGGGTTTAACCTCTGCTAGCTTCAACTAATTACTGGTTCTGATTCTCTACTTTGAAGTTTTGAGATAATTCTCAGAGTTCACACTTCAGAATTAGGAGTGATTCCTTTCACATTTTAAATCTAAACCTACATTCCAGACTCTGCTCTAAGTGGGGGCACACCCACTGCATTTGGAGAGCAATACAGTGTGCGGGCTGTGTTGCAGACTGGGGCTTGGGAGGTCAGCAAGGCCTGGATCACATGCTAGGCGTGTGTTCTACCACTCGAGCTGGCTCCCTGGCCCCAGATCCCAGAACTTATTTTCCTTGGCAGTGATTTTCAGCTTAAATGGCTGTGACATGAAGTGCAGAAAAGAAGGGCAGGGAGACAAAAACCAATAACAAGGGTGTTCCGTCTTGGGCATAGCTTCATCATTTCAATGTCCTCAATTTCTGTTCACTTGCACAGGAGTGGAGTCACAAAAAGACAACATAGGATACTTTTTCTTCATCTACATTTCCATCTGGGCGCCCGGAGTGGAGCAGAGAAGGCGCTTCTTTACACACCGACCCGGGTTCCATCCTGGGCATCCCCACAGGGTCCCCTGACACTGCCAGGAGTGATCCCTGAGTGCAAAGCCAGGAGTATGCATGGGGCACAGCTGAGTGCGATACCCCCACTCCTCAAAAAAATTTTTTCCATCAATCAGGACAAACACGTACTTTGCCATTTAGCAGTGTCATCTGCCTAGTTGGAACCAACCAAGTGACCAAGAGCGGGCATACGCGCTAGGCACATCCATTAGCACGTCAGCTCTTTACTTCACAGAGAGCTTGGATTGGACAGAGAGCTGCAAAAAAATGTGAGTTCCAAAGGAGGCGGCAGCTCTCAAAGTGGGGTGGAGCCGCCAACCATTTGAGGTGCACTGTTGATGTGCATCTTCCTGAACACACCCCACCCCCTACAAGAACAACAACAACAACAACAAAACAACCACAAAGAGTAAAAATTCATCATCTCCATTTCCCTGCAGCTCAGACTCGGGGCCCACTGACGTCAGAGCCGGGCATCCTGTCATTTGAGCATCGAGCCCTGACATATATTCGATCCCAGTGGGGACCCCCCATGCTACCCAATAACCGCGTGTTCGCTGGGCACATGGTCGCAACGGCGCGGCAGACACAGGCTGCTCTCCATCGGCGCCCCCCACGCCCCTTCAGGGCCCTCCCGGGGGCGAAAACATCACGGCTCCCTGCAAGGACCTCGCGGCTCACACTCCCCCCCCGCCCCTCCCCTTTCCCAGCCCAAGCCCTTCTCTTTCGAGAATGTTCGGCACTCTGCCGTGCCCTTTCTCAGCCCCGCGTCCCAGACCACCCCACCCCCCACGCAGGCCGCCCCGCCACCCAGACCACCCCCCGCCCCGGGGTCAGGGCTTCTCCCTCGCCCCGGGCCTCCGGCTCCGCCAGGCAGTTGGACCCCTCCCGCCGTGCGGGGACCCTCCAGCCCACCCTCAACGCCCCGCGGTCCCCCTCCTCCACTTGCCATCGCCTCTCCGTCTGGGCTAGAGGGCCCCGAAGGTGCTCACCATTCCGGCCGTTGCTACCGTCACTGCTCTGGTTGCTAGGGCCCGCCGGGTCAGGGCGCGTGCGCAGTCGGGCCGCGCTCGCCGCGGGGCCCCACCCCGGCCCCGGGCCTCAAGCTCCGCCCCTCGGAGGCGCGAGCGGAGCATTGTGGGACGGTGCAGCGGCCGCCCCGGGTCCTGCTGCCCCGACGCCGGGGACTGCAGCTGAGCTCTCCGCACGCTGTTTCGGTGTGCTCTTCTCTACCGACATCATCTCTGCTAGTCTGGAGGATCGTGAGTGCCCAAGGTCGGAAACGTTTAACCCCCTTCCCATAAAACCAGTGTCTTTTGCAAAAAGAGCATTCAAGAACCCCGGGAGAGAGCTCGAAGGGCTCGCGTGCATGCTGTGTAAGCGAGAGGCCCTGGTTCCAACCCCGCACCGCAGTCTATTTGTCCCACCCCATACAGCAACTCTGAGCACCGTGAGTGTGGCCTCCAAAGGAATTAAAATTATTTTCTCTGACAGGTTGCCCTGAGTGGTGAAGAAAGTAGAGCGAGTAGGGTACTTGCCTTGCATGTGGCAACCCAGGTTTCATCCTCAGCATCCCATATGGTACCCTGAGCCCAACAGGAGTAATCCCCAAGCACAGAGCCAGGAGTAAACCCTGAACACTGCTGGGTGTGGCCCAAACTCTTTCCCCCCACACACACTCCAAATTTAAATTCTGAGAAGTGCCTTGATTTTTCAAAAAGTTAAAGATTAAAACACAAGTACATAGAGCTGATCAGAAACCAAAAATACGGTTTTCAGAACCTCTATCTTGAGTTTTCAGTTTCCAGAAGGAGAAGAAAACAGATTTCTGTTACTGAGCCATTTTCCCAACACCGTTGGTTGAAGAGGTTTTTCTTGCTTCACTTCATACACTACTCTGTTGTTGAAGATTAGCTGTCCAGGTACCTGAGGGTCGGTATCTGAGATCTCAACTCTAATTCACTGGTCTGAGAGTCTCTTTATTCAAAATTTGGACAAACACATTTACATTTCTCCTATTTAAGGTTAAATGGGTCCTTATAGATAGCACCTGCACTAAACTTCTATGTTGAATAAAGTTTAGAGGAGAAAGAACATCCAGCAATGAAGAAGGGAGTCTTGAAAAAGCTAAGAATCCCATGGGGGGTGGGGAGAGGAGAACTGCATAGGGGGGAAATCTTATAGGACCTGACAAGGAAGTGAGATGGTTGTTCTATTTTTAAAAGTTTTTAATTGGGGCTGGAGAAACTGTATAGTGGGTAAGGCCTTGCACATGCCTGACCCAGGATCAATCCCCAGCATCCCACAAGGTCCCCCCAGGTACCACCAGGTGTAATTCCTGAGTGCAAAGCCAGGAGTAACCCCTGATCATCAGCAGATGTGGCCCCCAAGCCAAATCCAAACCAAAAGCTTAAAAGGTTTCAATCGCATGTGGTTGATCCTGGCTTAATACCTGGTATGGCATGTGGTACCCCGAGCATTGTCAGAGTCATTCCTAAGCACAGAGCACTATAGGGTGTGGCACAATGCCCCTCCAACAAAAAAAAAAAGTTCCGATGTGTTCTATAAAAACCAATACATGAGTACAAATCAGATTTTTATCAATATGATTATATGTTTTATTTAATATGATATTTAACTACAAAGTTATATTTTACTAGTCTTAATAAATGTTTTACCATTGAGATGTTTATGGAAGAAAGATTGGATTTGCTGCCAAGCATCCACCTGAGCCCTTGAGTGGGCCCTTGGCTCACCTCCATAGAATACTGCTTGGCCCAACACTGCATGCACAGAAGCTATCGATGGAGGAAAATAAGGAGGATCGATACAATGACCAGTTTCTGGGTAGAAGACTATCTGGGGTTTGTCTTTTCCATGGGCTTGTAACCTTTCAGACGCAATCTGAGCATAGAGTTCACTCTTCCAGCTATGGTCATCCAGGCTAACAATAAACAGGAAGGGCCCTTGGGCCTTTTCCAGTGGAATCACACTTTGACGGTTAGATTCCTCCAATGGATTGTTCCAAGTATCCATAAAGTCCAAAAGTCCTGATTCAGTAATTGTTTGTTTCTCTGGGTGACTGCCGAGATCAGGAATAATCATGTCCTTGTAATGCAGAGGCACTATGGTATTGGCTACACAGCCATTGATAAGGACGGTGGCTGTGATGCCCTTTAAGAAAGAAGCCATTGAGAGACACAGGTCACCTCCCTTGGAGAATCCAATAAGCCCAACACTAGGGCCTTTCACCTGAAAGGAAAAAGAAAGAACAGGCCTAGAATTCACAAGTGAAGGATGCAAACAGTTACATTTTCGAGGTACTTTCATCTAATGTCATTTTCTTTTGCGCTACAATTTACAAAGTTCCTATTTTCTAGTTAGCAACTGGTTTCCTGGTATAATCAAGGACTTTTGATTTCCTGGTATATATACAGATATTATTTAATATCAAGTAGACAGTACTACCTAGGATGGCCCTGGTAGTGTCCTTATAGGAACTGGGTAACGGTACACAGAGGTCCGTATACCTAATACCTAATTTCTATTGTTGTTTTGTGCCATGCCTAGCAGTGCCAGGGATCAAACCTGGGTCGGCCACATGCAAGGTAAGTGCCCTACACACTGAACTATCTTCTCTGAGCCCCCCCTAAATACTTAAAAAGTCATAAAACAAATAAAAAGTATTGTTAAATAAAATATATTTTTCTCTTACCTTGATGGGCTGGAGCGATAGCACAGCGGGTAGGGCATTCGCCTTACACGCGGCCAACATGGCCGACCCGAGTTCGATTCCTCCGCCCCTCTCGGAGAGCCCGGCAAGCTACCGAGAGTATTCGATATGCCAGACACAGTAACAACAAAGTCTCCAATGGAGACGTTACTGGGCCCGCTCGAGCAAATCGACGATCAACGGGAGGGCCTTTACCTTTACCTTTACCTTTACCTTACCTTGATAGCCTTCCATTACAATTTACTGGATCAGGTAAATTTGGGAACTCAGTTTTGTAATAGAATGTAGTACAAGGGAGAACTAGCACTTGCCCTGAGTACTTGGGTTCTGCATTCACTCTCCTTCTCTTCCCATGCTTGGCTCTATTATGTACCTTGAAGAATCTTTTCTTCCTGAGAGTGAACACCCAGCCTTCAGCTAAAGTAATTCTCATTGATAGACCATAAAAGAGGCACAGAACCTGCAGGAACAATCAGCACTTTCAGCAAAGAATCCTGAGATTTCCAGATTCCAAAGGTAAACGAGGTGGGACGCATGGATTCCAGGTGGAGACACACCCTAGTTCCCTTGGACTCCTCATCTTATAGGCAGAAATCACAGAGTTTGACCATCTAATACAAAAGGTCCAGGAACTGGGCAGAGAGCTCTGGTGATAAGGGCACATGCCTGGCATGTGCAAAGCTGTGGGTTTGATCTCCAGCATCAAATGGGTCCCTAATACCACCAAGCCAAAGCACTGTACTGGGCTTTCTCTACACCACCATACACCATCATCACTTATAACAAAATAACTATTTCTTATGGGCAGAAGGGATAGTACAGTGGGTAGGGTGCTTGCCTTGCACATGGTCAACCAGGGTTTGACCTCTGATACCCTATATGGTCCCTAGAGCCCCATCAGGAGTGATTCCTGAGAGTAGAGCCAGGAATAAGACTTGAGCACAGTCAGATGTGACATCAAAACACACAGAAAAATCATTCCTTAATATTAAGTACACAGTGCTCGTTGGGATGACCCAGGTTCTTAACCCCCAGTTAAGAGCAAGCAAAAAAGGTCCAGGGCAGATGCTCCATTACCCCAGGTTTAAGGATGGAACTGAATATTTAATTGTATTGTCTTTTTCCCAGGGCCACCTCTCCCCTAAATAAAACAACCATCACAGCTGAAGGTCATCTGTTTTAGCAGTTATGCCCTAAATTCTAACAGATCCGTCCTTAATTCTAACAGTTAGTTATACATACCTGGCAGAACACCTTATTTCTTGGAATGTTTGGATCTCTTTAAGAAGATAGTAGCAAAGGGGCCAGACACAGTACAGCGGACATGCTTGACTTGCACCTGGCTGATCTGGGTTGAATCCCCAGAACCCCACATGGGACCCCAGACACATCCAGGTATGATCTCTGAGCACAAAGCCCTGAGTATCACTTGATGTGGGCCCCCCGCCCCCATCCAAAATAAAGAAGATAGTAGCAAAGTGTAAGTATTTTATTATTATCATACAAACACCAAAATCTATGTGGGGAGCCGCAAAGTGGGGCACTACACCAGGCTCTGTGCTTAGTACAGAGCAATACTAAAGTGACCTGGCAGTACTAAAGGGATCATCTGCAGTGCCAAGATTTGAACCACTGTCATAGCTACAGCTGCATTCAAGGCAAGTGTCCTAATTCTGTAATACTTCACTTGCCCCAAACACTTAAGTCTTAAGGGGCTAGAAAAAGATTGATCCGCTAACCACAGTGTGTGTGGGACTGAGGGTGGATAAGATAGAGAAGAGACAATAACAATAATATGACAATAATAGCTGAGAATGATCACACTGGACAAGAACTGAGTGTTAAAAGTAAATAAAGGGATACTCTTGATAACCTTTCAGTATCAGTATTACAAACCACAATGCCCAAAAGGAGAGAGAGAAACAGAGACAGGGACAGCGACAGAGAGAGAAAAAAAAGCACCTGCCATAGAGGCAGGCAGGGAGTGGGGAGTGATGGGAGGGAACCTGGGGACACTGGTGCTGGGAAATGTACCCTGGTGGAGGGATGGGTGGTGGAATACTGTATGACTGAAATCCAATCATGAACAGCTTTGTAAGGGTCTATCTCACAGTGATTCAATAAAAAAAATTTTTTTTAATTTTTTAAATAAAAATAGATTCAAATGTACAAACTGAACACAATTACTACATCTTTGTGTGTGTGCGTGTGCGCGTGCACACACACACACACACACACACACATCCAGAGTCTCCACATATACGGCAAGTGCCCTACCACAGAGCCATATCCTT